GAGATGAACAGCAAAGTGCACGTGCCATGCCCCTGAGAGAGGAGATGCATTTTGGGCAAGTTTGCACATATTTGAGCAGCCTGGCCTGGCAGGAGGTGTCCCTGCTCACAGCAGGGACTGAGAACGAGATGATCTTTAAGATCCCTTTTTTAAACCCAAACCCTTTTGTGATTCTGTGAGTAAGGCAATTGATACACTGACTGTACATCCTGGGTATCCTGAGTAACCCCTCCAGACCCCATCCTGGATACCCTGAGCAGGGAAAAATAACACCTCTCAAGTAGAAAGGAGAGAAGATTCAAAGCAGGAGAGAAGTGGAGCTGTGGAGCAGAGCTAGAGGCAGGTTTTTGTGGAAGTGTTTGCCAAACTCTGTGTGTGACAGCCTCTGGGCCCGTAGTCTTAACCTGCTGGGAGTGGGATGCCAAGTCAGTGGGGATGCCCCATCCCTTTGCACTGTGTCAGGGTAAAAGGTTTGCATCCTGCTGCTCCATGATGCAGGAATTCTGTGCAGGCCCACAAAGGGGGTTTAAAGGTGGGACCCCAAAGCTTGGTTCATGCTTGGGTTTGCCCACCTGAAGACCTCCATGTCACAAAAGGACAGGCATCAATGGGGAACCCCAAAGCTCTGAGGCAAGATGCATAATTCTGCACTAAGCCAGGCACCAGGCATTCACAATGGTCCACACTGTTAAATTGTCATCAAGCTCCTTGGCACGGTGTCCTCCTCTCCCAGAGAGGGCCTGGGGACTCTTCATGGGGCAGGGACCAGCCCCAGCTGTCAGCATGGCTGAGGCCACCCTGGTTAGGGTTTGGAGAGGAGAAGAGGGTTTGGTTTGTGGGCCTGTGCTGTGCCATCTGGCTGCACAACTGCTCTTAGCCCCATTTATTTACTGGTACAGACATGGTCTCCTTGTTCAGCAAAACCCTGACTGTGAAAATGAGGAACCACACATCCCACCCTCATGGAAATGCAGCTTCCCAACGAAAAACATCTGGCAGGAGCCAAACAGAAAACAAACCATGCTGCGGGGATCAGATGAGATCAAGCCATGGCTAGATCACCCCTGAGCAGTTTGGGGCTGAATTTTACTCTCAGGGACCATTGCAGGATCAAAGGCTTGGGCATGGGTTGTCTCTTTCTGCCAGACTGCTCAGGTTGCCTCTGTGGCTGCTGCCTCAACATCTCACACAGGTCTCCAGGCAGAGAGGGATGGGCACATCAATACCTCTCTTACAGACCAGGAGCTGATGGGTTAAGTCACTGGGAACTTTTGGCACATCAGAGAAAAAAAAAATCTCTCAAATCCCAGGGCAGGTGTTAGCCAGAGATTTCTCTTACTTCTCAGCTGGAGTGTCTACCCCACCAATGTTCCAGCAGAGGACCTGGTGCAGGAGCACAGCTGCAGCTTTAAAGGCTGCCTCAGATGTGGACTGAGGGCTCTCTCTGCAGCAGGAGGTCCTGGGGGTGGGAAGGGGCTGTGTGTGCCCTGAATACAAAAGAGGCAAATATTTTTCTTGTTTCCCAAAGCACACTTCTGTCAGCACTTGCTCTCCCACCTAGAAGTGTCCATGCAGGAGGTCTTCTCCTGGCCAGAACAGATTGGGGACACTGACAGGGCAAAGCTTCTGAACATCTGGTGTAAACAAAGTCAAGCCTCTGCTTCAGAAACAGCCACACAAAAGAGCCCAGGCGCTTCAGTGACAATTCATGGAGCACAATTACACTGCCACTGATCACTGACTCCTTTGGGCTTGCATCAGGGCAGCTGCAGATGTCCTGCAAAGACCAGCAGTGTGACAAGGGCATCATTGCAGAGCTGAGAAAGGCAGGGTCAGATGTCTTGAGAGTGATCACAGGGAAGCAATAAAGCAACCTCCAGATTTGCATCAGAGCAGTGACAGCATTTTACCCAAGTCCAGGGCAGGGAGAAATCACATCCTTGACCCTAGGAGTGCAGTGAATGTCAAAGTGAATTCCTAATTAATGTTACGCTCTAAAAAATAAAGCAGAACTTTCAGCATCTTTGTCTTGTGGGTTTGCCTTGACATGCTGTGTTTGGGATAAAGGTTTGGCAGCAGGAAGTGTGCTGGGGTCCTGCTGGGACATGCTGGAGGACACATCTCCCTTCTCTTCAAAAATGGATTACTGGAGACTATAACCAAGGGCCCATCAGCACCTTGCAGGAGACAGGACCAAGATCCTGAGGCACCAAGGGTGGGACCTAGACCCCCCAGAGCCAAGCTGTCAGCTCAGCCTGAAGATATCCCAGAGCTCTGCTGTCTCTGGCTATTTGAGGAGCATGTGGCTCTTGTACACAGCTGTGTCACACAGTCCCTTCCCTGACATTTCAGTCCTGCCTCAGCCTTCTCCTGCTGCCTTTTGCCCAAGCTGCTCCTCAGGGCAGCCTGGCTCCACAGCACCTTCTGCAGAGCCACGCTGCAGCTCATCCATCTCCTGCCAGCACTGCTGGCTGGCAGCTCTGACTGAACAGCAGCTTCCAGCCTCCTAACAAGGCATAGGGAATCTGAGTTTTCTGGATCAGGGAAAAATGTCAGACCCTCCTGCCCTACCACCAGCCCATCTTTTACTCCCATTTCTCTCCTTTTGCTTTCCCAGGGGGATTCAGGGGCTCTTTGCTATGCTGCCAAGATTCTGCTGTAGCAGAGAAATGGAAAAAAAATCTGGGTGTTATGTGAACTGATGCCACTTTTGAAAGTTTCCGAAACAAAACTTCCCAGGCTGAAGAAAGAGCTTTAGCCTTTTAAGTTTTGGGATGGCTCTCTGTGGGGGAGGTGTGAGGCTGGGGCTGTCAGCTGGGAGTGTTCACCATGGATGGAGCAGGGGTCCCTCCTGTGATCAGCACAGCTCGTGCTCAATCCAGGTGCACATTCCCAAATGGATTTGTTTCAGCCTATGGGGTCCTGCCTTTGTGCTGGGATTCCTGGGGCTCCTGCTTGGGGAGGCACAGCGTGGGCACAGCAGTGCTGGTGACACCAGACAAAACACCTGCAAGGTGCCCATCAGGGCAGAGATGAGAGGTTGTCCCCTGAGAGGCTGGGGAAAGTCTGGATCAAAGCCTGGGGTGTGTGATAATCAGCCTTTTAGGAGCTGTAATCCCACTGAAAAGCTTTTTCCTCCCGTGCAGCTGGAGGGCTCAGGTGTGAAATGTCAGACCTGGGTGCTAAGCAATTGAAGAGGGTGTTGTAAAACACGCCGGGGTTTTGCTGTTGCACTTCCTTTATGCCTCCTGTGTGGCTTGGTGTGGCTCAGGGGCCTTTTGTGACCTCTCAGGCTCTGACATTTCCTAAACACATTCTCTGCACCTTTTTGGCAAGGTTCTTTTGACTTCCAAATGTATTGGCTGAAAAGTTTTTATGCATAAATATAAGCTTTCCTTGGCACTCCCTTGAGGAAAAAAAAAGTAAAGAAAAAAAAAGTAAAAGAAGAAGAAGTAAATTTTGATGCAATGTTTAACCTACTGCTTTATTCCTAAGAGGACAATTTTATAGAATCACAGGATATCAGGTTGGAAGGGACTTAAAGGATGAGCTGGTTCAATCTTTCTTTGTAAAAGATGGCCCAGCTGAATCTTAAATATGTCCAGCACTGGGGAATCCAACTCTCCCCTGGGGAGATTATTCCAATGGCTGATTGTTCTCATTGGAATGGGATGAATTGGTGATACAAAACCAGAGAATAAACCAAATAAAATGCTGTAAAACACTCTATTCCTCAGGGAGCAACAATCCCTCCAAGTGACCCAGAGGCAGCTGTACATCCTCTGTCGGTGGAGGGCAGAAGGACATTAGAAATGCAGGGCATGTGCAGGCAGCAGGGCTTTAATTGTCCCCAGGGGATTTACAGACAATCCCCATGGTGAAGAAGAGGCATCAGATCAACCAGGGAAGGGTTGAGGCAGGACACAGCTGGAGCTGGAGTAGCATCACCCCTCCCTCTCCCATCAGAGACTGCTCTGTGGACTGGTGTGGGAATCCAGAGCTTCCCTCTGGCTGCCCTGGAAGATCTGGGACCCTGGCAGGGGTCAGGAACCCCCCTGGACAGAGCCCCCAGAGACACTGGCTGTGATCTCTGTCCATGGAAAAGAGTTTTCAATCTTACAGGATTAATTGCAAGCTCTGAGTGGTTGATATAAGTAATAATTAAGTGTGACATGGGTGCAAAAGTAAAATTTTAGGTTTCTAGATAAGAGGTCCAAAGGGGACAAGATGGAGGAAATTGGGTGTGTCTTGTCCTTTTTCTCCTTCTTCATGCCCCCCATGTTTCACTGTGGTGTTGACATTTTTCTGTTGGTTCAGGCTGGGGACACACTGTCCAACGTAGGTGACAGATATTGGCACGTTCTTGTAAATGCAGCCCAGGGAGTTTCTGGTATTTAATGTTTGTCACATCCCACTGAGGGCAGAGCCCCACATGCTGCCCTGCAGGACAGAGCTGGGCAGGGCAGCAGAACATGTGAGAGATAAACAGAATAAACAACCTGGAAACCAGCACAGACCAATTATGGCTTCTGCTTTGGCAGCGGGGCTGACAGACAGAGACTCTACAATCTCAGAATCATCAATACCTCAGATTCTGACAGACTGGCTGATATTAGTCCCACCCAAGCACGCACAGGACAGCACTGGGCAGTCCCAAAAAATGTGTTTCTCTGCCTGACCAGCAACATTTCATCACTTGTCACCCACCCCTCTGCGAGTTCTCGCGCAGTGTCACTGGCACGGCGGTGGCGGCGGGAGCCTCGGCAGGGAAATGTTAATGAAAGTCATCCATCAAAGGCAGGGCAGGGCTCCAGGCAGATGGATGAGGACACTGGGGCTGGGACTGTGCTTCCAAGTGTGGGAGCTGCTGGGGGAAACCTTTGCAAGAAGCCTTGCTTTCACTGCAAGGCTCTTGTCCTCCCAGCCCACACCTGGATGGAGGGGACAGGGCCTCCAAGCAGTAGGGCTTGGTGCTGGTGGGTTTAGGCTTGGACACTCACCTGTTTCCCTTCTGAAGGTGTGGGGAAAGGCTGTGTCCTCTTCTGCAAGGGAATGGCTCATGCATGAGAAATTTGGTTTCCATTTCCCTGCGTTCCTCTGTTTATCCCGCAATAAATTCATCACTTGGGTAGAAACGCAAATATAGCCCAGGGGTGGTCTGAGATGTCCTCCATGAGGGGCAGCACCAGCAGGAATCCTCAGTGTTCTGCTGGGAAGGGAAAGGTGCAGATGAGAGAGAAAGAGGCAGGCACTGCAGCCCATGGCTTTGCTTGCTATGGGATGGATTGGCACTCAGCAGTGAACAGACCCAAGCCTGAGGTGACTGATCCCTTCTGCAGCGTTGAACCCTCCTTGAAGGGGTCTCAAAGCCTTGTATGGATCATACAGCGCTGCTCAGGCATCCTTTATTGGGGGAAATAAAGGTGATTTTTATCCCTGTGGGGCCATACCTGCCTTCTTCCCACCAGATCTACACCCAGGCATTTCTTGGTGTCTTTCAGCAGGAATGAGGACCTGAAGCCTCTGCATCCCCAGTGAGTTTCTGGATGGACCCTGCTGGCTCTGCAACCTCCCAAACTGAGATTCAAACAGTCATGAGAACCCTGATTCTGCCCCAAATCCTGTGTTTAATTCAACAAAATGTGGTTGAAATAATAAAGACTAAGCCTTGCCAGCCCCCATACAGAAGTCTCCCCATGATGGTAAAGTTTCAGCAGATCTTATCCATAGGGAAAATACTCCTCACCTGCCAGGCTGCACAATCTGCATTCTAAGGCTCCTCACCCAGAAGTGTCTGTGTTTTCAGTGCCACCTTGCAATAGCTTTGGGGAGGAAAGTTAAAAAACAGGCTTTTTTTTCTTCTTCTTCTTTTTCTTCTGACAAGCAGTTGTGCTTTCCTGAATTCAAAGTGGGGTTTTCAGGTAAAATGAGAATTTCCGCAGAAAGTGTCAGCTTCAGTAGAAATGTTCTAATGCTTTTGAAAACAACAAGCTTTAAAACACAGGGATTTTCCCTTCTCTCTCACTTTCTCCCAAAAACAGGTGGGCAGGAAGGGGGAAGAAGATAGAACAGTTCTGTTTTCTTAATCTCAGGAAAGAAAAAAAAAAAGAGAGAGAAAGAAATTAACACATTGCCAGGATTCTTTTTTTTTTGTTATTTTCTTCAGAGCTTTTTCTTGTATTTTTTTTTCCCATGGAAAAAGGCCATCTTTTTTAAACCAGCTTCAGTTGCTGTTTTTCTATAATTATACCCCAAAGTCTGGGAACTAGGGCAGAGGATGCAGTGAGAAGAGAAGAGCACTACAGTGTAGACAACCCATGGAGCAAGCACGTTGTGGGATTTTTCAGCTGTCCTGTCTCAGCCACATGGCACACGGGGATTGTTCAGGGTAGCACTGCCTCTTTTCCTTTTAAACACCCATCAGGTTTTTTTGCCATTTTGCTGAAAGTTATAAAGAAGGAAGGAAAAAGATCATGTAGCTGCCATTAGGATGAACTATCTAATTAGTGTGCAGAAGCACTTGCCTCCTGGAGGGAGAATGAATTAAGTGACCTGCGGCGGAGGGTGATTCATTTCTGCTCTGCTCTTGCATTTCCCCTCTCGTGACATGAATCACTTGTCCACCAGCCTGTGCAGGGAGGAGAGCAGAGCTCCTGCCTCAGCCTGTGGGGCCAGTCTGAAGGACTCAGACCCAAACCATCACGAGCAGCCAGCCAGGTTCCCTCTTCTTCAGCAAGGAAGATGTTTATTCAGGTCTCGTGTAGTCTTCCCATGGCTTTTTGCCTTGTGGAGGGAGTGTCCCACCTCTCATGGGGTACCAGCTCTGACTGGAACATCCCCAGAGCATTTGTATGTCACCCAGGAGGCTTCTCTGCTCTTTGCTGGTGCCTCTGGGCTTGTGTTGCTTCTTGTGCCTCCCTCCTCTCCCTGCCCACCTGCATTCATGAGCTGGTGGCAACTTCATGTCTTTGTGGACTGGTGGTCAAATGGCCAATATTGCTCAAAGGTTTTGGGAGATTTTGGAAAAGCCATGTCTGAGATATGCACAGACAGGTAGTAGAGTCATAGAAGCCTCACTCTCCCAGAGAACTAGGCCAAAATTCTTTCTAAATTGTAATAAAGCCTTCAGAAATGTCTTGGAGGTGGTTTTAATGCAATGCTACCCTGACATGACTTCCCAAAGCAGAAATTACAAGACAAATTGTCATCAGCACCTTCTTCCACCTCATGAGGTTGGTGACAAGAGCAGAGGAATTCCCTGACCCTTTGCAGCACTCAGCCCTTTCCCCTGGAGCAGGGGATGTCCATGTCATTCCCCCAAACACAGTCTCAGTGTTTGACTCAGAGAAGAACCCCAACCTGCCTCTTCCACAGGACCAGTGTGAGCAGTGACCACCTTCCTCCACAGCCTGTATAGAAAAGGGTGCTCAGACACTGCCTGAACCACACCAGGAGTTTTAGGAATATTTTAACCTCCTTCTGAGTGATAAATGAACTGTTCACAGGAGTCGTGTGGGGTTTAACAGGGAAAGTCAAGGTCCTTTGCAGTTTGGTGGGGCTGGGTCTCCGCCTGTACTTTGTCCACGTGGTGGACTTGGGCAGAAAATCTTGGAAAAACCTACAAAGCTCACTACTCACAAATCTCACAAAGCTCACTACTCACAAATCTCCATCTGTGCCCTCCTTCCTGCTCTGGACATGCAAACCCACAATTGCTGGCTTTACCAGGTCATGCCTGGAGTCCTGCTCAAACTTGTCTCAGCTCCTCTCCTTTTGCTGAAAATATTTATCTGTTTGCAAACATTGCTATTTCTGAGAAGATCCTGTTCTGCTGATGTGCAGTTCCTGTAGATTTGGCCATCATGGTAAAACTGGCCTGCTCTTCTGCCTTAATCTCCTGCCTTTGTATCATGGCTGACAAGAAAAAGGCACTTAGAAAGGACATGGGAATGTAATTAGTAGCTAAAACACACTCTGTCAGGGGAAAAATTTGAAATATGTCACCACCAGAGTTGGACAAAAAACTGCTGTTGTGTCTTTTGTTAATTTTCCTTTGTTCTTGTCAAAAAATATTTATGATAGACAAAAATTACATACTTCTGAAACATCCAGATGGCTCTTTCTACAGCTACTAATTCAAACTTCTGAATGGACTTGGTCTTCGTGCTCTAAGGAAGCAAAATTCCCTGTTGTTTAAAGGAATTTTTCATCTACCCTCTCATCTCCAGGAAAACTCCCAGACTGCTGGGCAAAACAAGGGCTTTTCTTCATTTTCCCACCAAAGCTGCTGCAGCTGTGTAAGAGCCTTAAACTCATAGAATCATAGAAAGGTATCATAGAATCCTAGAGTGGTTTGGGTTGGAATGGATCTTAAAGACCATCTAGTTCCAGCTCCCCCACCATGGGCAAGGGTGGCACCCATTAGATCAGTTTGCCCAGGGCCACAACAAACCCAGCCTTAAACACTTCCAGGGATGGGGCACGTGTGTGGGAGCATGGACACTGAGCTGGACACCTGCACGGAGGGTGCTCAGCCACAGGGATGGGCGATACTGTTTCGTTTTGATAGTAAAAGGATTTTAAAATCATGGGGATTTAGGGTTAACGGGAAAATAAGCTTAGTAGGCCCTGGAAAAATAAATACCTTAAGCACATGAAGAACTAGTACTTGCTAGAACTGCACTATGTAGCTAGTACATGATAAATGATATAATTGTTAGATGTGATGATCGTTTAGTAATTAAATATAATTACTGTTTAATCATAAGAATAATCATGAGAAACTGTGGTCAGGGACCTAAGAAAGATCACGAGAAACTCATGTCAATGTATACAATAGAACAATATAAGTTTAATAATTAATGTGTAAGTTATATAACGATAGAATATAAAATACGTTCAGCTCAAAAGCCATGTCGGAGTCAGATTTGGGTTTGTACCCCGACTCCCAGAGCTCTTAATAAAAGCACCTGCATATAATCATATCCCATGATTATGTGTGTTTCTGAATGTGAACAGTTTCACTGGACAGAGTCATATTTTGGGCCTGCAGAAAGATAAGTGCTTCCCTCACCACATCAATGACCCCAGTGAGAGGTTGAAACTGTGGGGTCATTAACTGGAATTCCCAGGTCTTTCTTGATGAGATTTCTTGTTAACAACTTCCCTGATTAAATACTGATATTAAATACTCTCTGTAAAGCAGGTGTGAGTTCAGCTGTGGGGTACAAGGAAGGAGAGAGGACTCCAGGCTTTGACCTGCAGGCAGTGGTGCTGGCACCAGGTGAGTGACAGGGATGGTAACTCGGGGAGGAGCCGGCATTTAGTGGGAAACCACTCCCCAAAACTCCCACCTCCAACCTGCCTGGCTCTTACCAGACAGCTCTTAAGTGTTCCAGATGGGGCCCTGCCAGCACAAGGGGCTCAGCTTGGCCAGCCTCAGCCTCCCCCTTTCTTCTGACTCAACCGACCCTGCCAAGCAGCCATTGCTTCCCTTGAACATCAAAGGTCTTCATTAAACCCTGTCAGTCACGGGCCGTGTTCCCTGATGGGCATCCATGTGTGACAAGGAGCACAGGGGGATCCCCAGCCTGCCATGGGAGGCTGCCTTGGAGGGGGGAACCATTCATGTCATGCCACTTCCAATTTAGGATGTGCTCTTGGAGGCAGCGGGGCGGAAGGGGAGCACGTACCAAGCCTGTGAGGCAGGTGTTGCAGCTGTTCCTGTTGCAGCAGGATCAAGAGGGAGCTGCTGGATGGAACAGCCCTCATGTGGGAAATGGCAGCCTTTCCCCCCTAGCCTGGTGGCACATCCCCAGATGGGGAAGTGGTCTTCAGCCTCTGTCAGCTCCGCTCACATCAGTCATGTCTCGTTGGGTCCTCTGACGGATGGGAACGGGCAGGACCCATCGCAACCGCTCCCCGTCAGCCCGGGGCTGTGTCTGCAGAGATTTCACTTCAGGAGGGCATGTACTGTGCTCCCTCCTGCACTGAGACACAGGAGGGCTATCTTCCTCTCAGGAAGGCTCCCTGGACAATGCAAGACGTTCCCAGACAGCTGATTGCTGCACCAGCTGGCACAGAATGCTACGTGAAGGAAT